TTCTTTTAAATAGTTTTCCTCTACGCGGTAGAAAATTCGCGATTCGTATCAAAATTGTTACACCGTTGTCGCGCGTCGAAGAACAAATTTGTTTTCGCTTTTCGGTAAAAAGGACAAACCCCCGAAAGTCGAGGGAGAGCGCGCGCGCGCCTAATAGTTTTAATAGTCGTTTATCCCTTTCCTCGAAATTTCTTACGCTATTCCTCACAGGTTCCCCTTTAGTTCCGTCGAGCTTCGTCGAACGCGATCCATTCACACCGTTTCAAATCTAATGTATAATATCAAAGAAAGAGTATTTGAGAAGACCGTGAACTCCCACGCTGTAGCAAATTTTGATTTTCCTAACCGCAAACGATTTGTGCCGGATTTAAAGTAACAAGATGAGACGTTTCGACTCGTTCACGTTTTCATCGACGAAGCTCGATGCTGATTCTTTCAACGAAACGTACCCGCCAACCTTCCTTCGATCATCCCGTGTCAAATGTTGAATACAAACCCGTTCGAGAGGGATGGGAACGCGTTTCTACCGAACGCCAGCCTCGAAATAACCGAGAGAGATATCAGAGAAATATTGTCGCCTTATGAAAAAACGTCACCTTTAATTACGCGCGCCAACAAAAGTCTTGGCTCGATTCTCGTTTCGCATAATGTACGTTCGTAATGACCAAAAATATATGTATATATATAATATATCATTCCTTATATAATTATGTTGCTCCTTACGAGTTAAGTAATGTTAGTAGTATGTAATAAGTTTGCATTCTTCTTTTCATTAGGTAGTTTTACATCGATAGAGGAAAAAATACGTTGTTTCGCGTCGGCAATTATTTAATTATTCTCTTGTTTCTCGTTCTATTCGTGTCCATCTACCGCGCGCTTCCCAAGAAGAACCGTACCCCGCGCCGGTGCGAGGATACGCGTTCGTCAAGCGCTCCTTACCCAACGCTCTCGTTTAATTATTTAAATTAATCGTTTTTCCTAACGGACGCGTGCACGCGCGGACTCTTTCCACGTGCTGCTCTGTATCTGTTCCCCGTTTCATGTATACCGATTCACCGGAACGCCGCTGGTAGATCGCCATGGACCGCGTGCGCGGATCCACGGTTCACCACCGAGGAGTCCCGGGTTCATTGTTACATCCTGAAAGCGAAATGTGTGTCACCGAAAGAATCGTACGTCTGCCTGCGTGTCTCTGTATTATGGTCACATGTGTGTGTACGTATGTGTGTCTGATACATATTGCGTGTGTATGCATTCCGGTGCAATAACGTTGCATCGTGTCCTGTACTATATTACAGCATTGAGTCGATGCGTTCTCCTCGAGAAAAATCGAAAACGTTCGCCATAGTCGGAAAGAGAGTGTGTGGTTCCGGTACGACCTACCGTCATCTGGCGACGTAGGATCGTGCGCGCGTGCCGGATACACGTAGACTGATGGAATCGCAGTGGGTTCACGGGTGGTTGAAGTACAGCGTTTACACGCGTTCACTTTTTCTTTTCTTTCCGTTTCTTTTCCGTCTCTTTGTTTCCCGTCGCGTTATTATCGTTACAGGTATATCGGAACTTGCCCTGGCGACGTTCAAAAGGGGCTTCCGGATGGAGAAAAGGGCAGGGTCACGCGCTCGTGGGCCGTTCTACCGTTCCGTGGCCAAGCGCGTTTTCGTTTCGCGTCCGTCCCTCGTCCTAAACGACACGCGCTCACGCAACGCGACGTAGGAGGTGTGCTCGGCCGTCGCACGGCCCTTCTCTCTTTAAAAAAAAAAAAAAAAAAAAAAAAAACGCGCTCGCACGACACGCGACAAAGCATTTTCACATCTTATATAAAAACGAATTTATAACGAGAACCTATCAATTTTACTGATCTTCATTGAAACGAATTCGCGTTGTAATTAATGGCTGGGAAATTTCTATTATAATTCGTGAACGCCAGTTTCCACGGTTCCCGTTGAATTAAAATACTTCAAGTTCGCCGGACGATTGTATCGGAATGAAATTCCTGAAAGTTTGTTGCACACGCGCCGCGAACGAGCCTAGCAGGCACATGTGATTAGAGAGATTAAAGGGAAACATTTTATCGTAAACGTTTCGGGCGAATTTAATTCACCTGAAAGCTTTCCGGGGGTATCGCGTTTGGAAAGTTACTGCAAAATTCACTTTGCGATTCGTGCCGCGTGGGGGAAATCGCGCAATTGAAATATTTTCAAACACGATTGGCCTCCGTGGCCAGAGAACAACCTCTGCACTACCCATCTTCTCTCATTAATTTCAAACAAAACCTAATTGAATTGGTAGCTCGGTAAAATCTTTGACACATCATCCCGTATGCGTTTAATAAATTTTATGTGCTCAAAATTTCACGCGAAAATCGATATGCGGAGTTTCAAGTAAAATGCGTACGATCGTTTTCGAAGGAACTGCACAAAAGCTGAGACTTTATTTCGACGAGATAATTCATAGTATAATCTACTGTTCGTCAGAAAGTATTTCCTTTGTAATTGATTTGTTCTCCACTGTTCGCAAAAACCGGTTAATGACGGTCTGAAACGGTACAGATTTTCCTGTATTCCGCGAACGCTGTTTCTCCCATGGCGACAATGATCCGGTTTAAGGTAAAGAAATCATGAAATCTTCTTCGCCGCGATCCGACCGTGCTTTCACGATTTCTCGGACCGAAACTACTCTCGAATCAGGTCGACTCTCGATCGTCGATCCGTGACACCTTAAGCGTGGCCGCGTAGACACGCGGCCGCGTGTCGAGAGATAAAACGGCCAAGTTATGCCGCTTTTTCCGGCCTGCCTCTCCCTCTAGCATACCGGGTGTCCTTGCGGAATGAAAGTACGCACTCTGAGAAACACGATCCCCCGTTCTAGCGAGTACAGTCCGGGATATAAGAAAGCTTGATCGAAAGAAAATCGCGATAATCTTAAAAGAATCAAATCTTTGTCACATCCGTTTGATTAAAATGTTTGCGAAATCTTCCTGGCATCTGTCATTCACAGAATTCAATTATGCGTGCACGCGGTTTTTCTATACGTGGGATGGTTATTAAACCCGCGCGCTTTTTTCCGGCTATGAATTGCTAATGCGTAAAAGTTCCCCGCTGAAATACGTTTATCACGCTGTGGAAGTTAATCGCTTGGTTACAGCAGCTCCAGCAGAGAGTTATCGCACGCGATCGAACGCGTTCAAAAGTTGAACGCATTTTTCAAAGAACAGATTCCTCGTGTTTTTCCGAAGTCTTTAAAAGTATCGATGTATGGAGTAGCATTTTACGAAGAGAAAACAGTTTCGTCGTCGAAAGAGCGGGATATATTTCGCACTAGGAAAAAAAGAGATCTGCAACCGAACGAGGATTCTTGGCGCTCGTTTTCATTAAGCACGCGGAGAACGAGGGATGCCGAGGGAGTCCTTCACGCAGCGCGGGACGAGAATTTCAATGCGTCAGCATTAACATAAAAGCATCGTTGAATTTCGCCGGCCGGGCACCCGGAGTCGCAAGATTTTGTAAATTGTTATTCTAAATGCGCCGGTTACCCGTGAATTATTGCACCTGGTACAGACCTATCTCCGTCCCTCTCTTCCCCTCTCAGTAGCCACCGTTCTAGGAGAGATAATTCGTGCAATTTCGCTGCCCGTACGAACTTCCACCAACGGATAGCAGTTAAATTCACTTAGCGCTGTATCAGCATGATATATTAGCATGCTTGCCAACTGTTTCGACTTTGTTAAGCCTCTTTATATTAATTTGAATGCACTCGGATCTTCTTGAATCGCTGCCCCTTCGCTTAGTTACGCGCTCATAATTTACAGATTACGCTTGATCCTCGTATGCTACTTAATTATGCTAACACCGAAAACTAACGTAATTCGAATAATATATTTAAACACGCTCCATCGAAAAGATTATAATTATACTGTGGTCGACGAAATATCATCAGTTCCGAAGCGATCGCTCACGCAATTGATTTGAACGAAATTAAACGCACTCGTCGCACGATCGATGCGGATTAAGCCGCAGCGAGCTAGAACTGACAATGAACGCCCGAGGCAATTCACGTATAAAGTATACGCGTAGCGTTAACTGTTTTTCTCTGCTCGTTTCAGGTCCTGCCGAGACCTGCAGGGACGGAGGAGAATCAATCGGTTTCCGATCCCGAAAACGACCTACTCGAGATCGCGAAAGTGGATCGACCACGTCGCGATCCGGTTTCGGAAAGTACGGAAAAATATGAGCATCTCGTGAAGTCGGTCAAAGTGCAGCTTTCAGACATCGAAGGAATATCACCTGTACCATGGAGACCGAAGAACTCACTAGACTCGTAGACGAGATCTACAAGGTAAGCCACTCTTTGTTCCGTCGGTTTCTCTTCGGGATACCTAGAAACCGATCGTCGAAAATAGGGAAAGTTCTCCGTTGTACTTTCGATCAGAGCGCTACAGAGTTCGATCATCGTGTAATTAACCGTCGTCAATCGATGTTTCTCGCTTGATCAACTACTTGACAGCGAAAACTTAGGTGACGAAGAAAGTCCCGTTCGAACTCGGATAACTTCGTTATACGGCGAATTCCGATCGTTCATTCGGATCGAACGCTGAAGAATGAAAACAAAAAACTGGATCGCAATTTCGTTTTGGTCGTATGGACCACCGTTTCATCGAGACGAATTAATCCGGCCTTAATGCGTCTCCGTTAAACGGAATCTATCGTACGCGTGTCGTGTCAAAGATGGTCGTCGAACAGCAATACCGTTTCGCGCAATCATCCGAGGCTACACTATTTTCTCGTATAGCTGACGAATCTTCTGACGAATCTCATCGCGATATCTAGGCGCTTCGATCATCTGTCACTGGATACGCGTGGAGTAATGAAAAATGGGTTTCCATTCGCGTGCCCTCGCGCAAACACGAGTACGCACTCGGAACCAACGTATCAACCTCACATCGCAATCTCTTTCTCCTTAACGAGTTTCTTTTGCAAACACTGATAAGTTATCTTCTCTTTGTCAATGATGATTCATACCCTGTTAGAAATTTTTACCGCAATTTGAAATCCTGTTGCACCATCTAGTATTTTCTTTGTGCACAAAACAATTTCGCGAAACGATTTCGACGCAAACAAATAAACTGACCGGCCGAAATGAACAGTTCCGACTAACGACTAGACCGCAGATTTAATCTATTAGAGAAGTTTCATTTTCCATAAATATCCGCAGCCCACTAACGACTACGATTATTACATACGGAGGAGAGTTTGAAAAATGGAAACTTCCGATTTAGTTCGAAGAAGGAATTTCACGGAAAATTGATCCGGGCTCTACTTTCTCTGGCCATAACCATAATTCTCCTTAGACTGGCAGCTGCGCAAGTTGTATCGCAACGCGAAAACCTCGATACAGCTGACTGTACAAAAGTTTCTCCCCGAGGTCTCCCGGTTAATCCATCCGTTTATCCCGGCGCTTATCTCTCCCACGGTCTGTCCCGACGAACGTGCACGATCACGGCAGCGTGGAAGCCGCGGTATTTCCCGATAATTAGGTGTCGCCTTGGAAAATTATCCGTCCCGAGTACAAGCATGTCACGGCGGCGTAGAGAAGGGTTGGGAACAGACAGAGGGAGGGACGGAGAGGGTGATCGTCGGATGGCGCTCACGGGAGCGAGAATGATTAGGCAGTAGGTAATCTTATTAGTCGTTCGGCAGTCAACCTTTCCTTTAAACTCTCTTCGTCTCCGTCGCGAGACTCCCCCTTCGAACACGACTCGTTACGTCCCCCCTAAGGACCGACCCCGTTATGCTTACCAACGACAGACGTCCCGTGGAAAACGAGAAAACCCTGACAACCGACAGATCGCATTAACTCGCGCCCTCGCAATTGAACTCGTAAAAACAACAAAGTATTTTCGATCTCGGATCGATCAGAGTTTCTCCTACGCGATGCTACGACTGGGATGATACTTCCGGGGCGTTTAATGCCAAACAGTTCACGCTGATCCTCGCTTTAACCAAGTTTCTCGAACCAAAGGATCACGTCGAAAAGAACGAAATTTGAATATACGGTTCGAGATACGATGTCTCCGTTTAGGATCGACGAAGAGCCAGTTCGTTAATAAAAACAAATTGGGCGAATTCGTAGCCTGTCCAATTAAGCGGGACTGAAGCGATTAATACCTGGGTTCGTTGAGACACCGTCCTCGAATTATTAACGCCCACCCTTTTGCTTTTCTCGCGAAACAGAGACACGGAATTATCCCCTCTCATAAATTCCGCGGTTCGTTCGAGCTATCAACGTAATTACCGATGAAAAGCTATAGTCGACGCTCCCCCAGCATCGTCTCGCATCCCTCGGTAATCGATCTAACGTCACGTTACGGTGAAATAAAGGGTACAAATCGGTTTCCCGTGACGCGGGCGCGGCGTGGGTGGGTTCGTTGTTCCCGAACGTGTTGAAAATTAAACTCCGCACACCGGCCGATGATCGTCTAGGCCGGTGTGGTCGCGACGCTGTTCCCGCGCGTAATCCCGGATGATCCTTTAATTTTTGCGGATTTGATTTTGCCCGGTCCGGCCTGTACACGGGTACGAAACGCACGGTGCCACCGGTAAAGACTACCATTTGTATCCGCCGGCGCATATATTAATCATACGTGAACCTGTTTCCCCGCACGCGTGTTCGTTACACGCTGATCCGGAATTGTACAGTGATTCGCAAAACTATCTCTTAACGCGATCCAACTCGTCCGAGCAATTTATATCACGTTCGTTTCGGGAGTAAAATTCTTATCCCATACGATTTTTTAAGGATGTATTGTCTATACAGTCAATCCCAAAAGTTTATGCACTTTAGAAATGCATTTTTTAAAAAGAAATCAGACAGACATCAGAAATGCGTTTTTCTAAGGAACGCTAACTTTTGGGATTGACTGTATAGCCAATACATCCTTAATGAAACGTTCTCCAATTACATTTGCCTGAATTCAGGTATTTTCGCATCGGAGATAACGCAAGTATTCTTCTGTCGGCAACTGTATGCGTTGATCAAGGACGTGCGTGTGATATCGATCCGGAGCGCGAACCGCATCTTGCGCACGTAGCCAACACTGTGAAACGAATGGTCGTACTTACGATCCGGTTGCGCATCGATTTGTTTGGACATCGTTTATGCGGGCAAAAATGCCGTTACGCGGTCACGACGAACGAACTACGTTGATTAACACCCGGGATCACGCGGAACGTAATAGGATCGGGATCAATCGATACTTCCAATCCCCCGCTATAATTTTATTACGGACAATAATTGCGAAAGATGAATCTCTCGTAATTAACATACTCATTGAAACGGTTGACCAGCGTCGAGCATCGCGTGGGAGGTTCGATTAAGTGTTTAGTACACGGGCAGCGTCCCAGAGTCGTGATCAGCACCTCAGATCCCCTTGAAGGGAATTCAGCCGGTCGTAATCGATCGGATTATCGCGTTTTCTCGACAAATTAGTCGCGTACTTGGCCGCGTACCGAACTCGCACGGCAACGCAACGCCGGCCACGGGGTTTGGAAGGAGAAAGCCTCGCGGGCACCTGTTTCGACGGGGGTGAGGATCGGAAGCCAATTAATATCTACCCTCCTGCGGGGGTCAACCCTATGGCGAGCCACTGGAATACACCCCGTTGAAACATAACTGCGCCGGCCGTGATATACTCGCGCCATGGGGCTCGCTCTCCGGTGGTGCGACGGGACCCCATAAACCCCGTCATGCGATAACGCCGTTAACCTGTAGTTACCTCGTTATTTTCTAACGGGTCGCCACCGCCACCGCCGTCGGAAATCGAGATTGCCACGAGACGGCCGAAGGAGACTTCTTCTCCTTTCTTCTCATTTTTCTGAAATCCGTCGCGGTGTGATTTACCACGGCTTGATTTACCACGCCGATTTCCCCGGCTAAATTTATTAGCGCCCCGAGGAACCTCGAGGCTCTCCGCTTATTTCGGTCTTATCGCCGCGATTTCGATGCATAGCGTGTCGCGAGGATAGTTCATGAAATTTATTAGGCGAATTCCTTTAAGATACCCGGTCGTGAAACAACCTTCCCCGCTATAAATGCGTAATTTTATACGACGGCACGGTGTACCGGCAACCAGACTGCAAACTTTTATGCTAAATATTTTGTGTTGTTAATTTAGAACGCGAGACCCAGAATGAGATTCGATGTTCTGCACATCTTTGCGTACAACTTGAACCTTTCGTACTTCCTGCTCGTTAAATATATTAAATTTGCGATTTACCGTGACAAATTTCACGATTAAGTACGTAATTATTGACGTATACGTTGAGTATTTTATGTTCACGACCAATTCGGTGGACAAGGAAGAATATTTCAGTCGCATCGTTTTACTCGAGATTGTGACGGTTTAAGCGAAGTTAGCATTCGACCGTAGTCTTCACCCTCTCAATTAAAAAGCCGACGGGTCGGGTGTAACCCCACGCGGCGCAAGGGTTCCGAAAGCCGGGTGCTACAACACCATTAATAATCTTTAAAAAGGTGAGACCCGGTAAGCCGCGACTAACGCGGCTTAGTCGGCCAAGTGAGTACAGCACGTGTCCTAACGAGGTGCTCCTCCTTCCTCATTGTGCATATTCATTAGGACGTTCATTATGACCACTTGTCGCCTTGTGTCATGCCTTCGCGGTTCATTTTTAACATCAAACGCGATCGTGAATGTCGCGTAACAACGCGTCTCATCAATTTTTTACTTCCAATCTTTCGTCTGTCGATAGAAAATAAGGAAATTCTTTTTATTTCATTAATGGTCACTTCGTATGAATTTCATCTTTAACGAAGTTCGTTGAATGAACGGATACTCGTCTTTATGAGCTCGTCAAAACGAGTCCGAAGCTAACGCGTTTCTACTGAAGACAATTCTTCTGAGAGATTCACAGATCCCGGAGTTTCACGGGAAAGATAAACACCCGCCGGAATCGCCTAAATGTTCCTTATCACTGTCGCTGGCGACAGTTAAACCCGAGAGCGGCTTTATTAAAAAGGAAAAGCAGCCCGCGCTGCGATACAGAACCATCCCCCGCGGAATTACGCATCTACCGTTTGCTTTTATTGCCAGGAACGGATCGCGGATTTTAATTAAGAATTTTTACCAAATTCAACGGGTACCTTTGTACCTCCGAATTTCCCAGGAAATCGATTAATTCCTTTTTAATTGCAACGAACAGTACAATTACGATCGTACTGGGAGTGTGAGACTTCTGTTTTTAAAAAACGTGATACAATTTTAAAAATAAACGTGACGACACCTACGCGACGGTAATACGATTGGAAAAAATAAATGTCAG